CATCATATGCAGCGCTTTATTACCTCCTGAGAGACTTTTTGTACTTAGAAAAGTTTTTCAACAGGAACAACGCTCCAGGAAAGAGTTTTGAACTAAAAAATGATATGAAAATATATGTGAACAAATCCGTTGAATGTTCGGCAAAACGTATTTTGTGTTTTTTGGGAAAATAATTTTTAAAATATTTTGTTTGTAAGAGCATTCTGTGTATATAAGCGTGTATTGTACGTTATATGTTAGTTTTAAGCAAGTAATAAAAGAAATAAAGTGCCATTGCTAGATTGAAGTAAGTTTTAACCAACATGGTAATGGGTTTAATCAGGGGTACACTTAATTCATTTATTTTTACTTTGAGATCATTCAGATGAAAGAAAATATTGAATGTAATGTATGACAACTGAAAGTAATGTTAGAGTGAAGGAACCGTTTTAGTGCTTATGTATGAGGAGTTTTACACATTTGCTGGGTTTTTTTCTTCTTATGGCTTTCAAGATTCATTAATTTTTCAACATTTAGTGTTTTGCCAGTGGCAGGGTGACTCAGAAGGAAAATATTTTTCATCACTCAAATTTTGTAGTGGTCTTTCCAGAAGTGTACTGACATCACACTTCAAATAATCCATCAAAACTTCAACTTCCCTCGCATCCTTCAGAGTGTAGGCATTGCACCTCCAAGTTCTAGGACTCATGCTCAGCAAGCTGGATTCTGCAAGTTCTTTCATAGATGTTATGTTGATCTACTCTAAACATTCATACATAACTGTCATGCAAAGTGTCGTATCTCTGCACTCTGGCAAGACAATGATAGTGTGAATGATGGTGAAAAATGTTTCTTTTTTGAGTCACCCTGCCTCAGTGAGAGACAACCAGTGCGTTTAAAAAAAATATTGGCTGATTATTTTTTTTTTTTTTTTTATTATCACACTGGCCGATTCCCACCAAGGCGGGTGGCCCGAAAAGAAAAACTTTCACCATCATTCACTCCATCACTGTCTTGCCGAAAAGGGGGCTTTCACTACAGTTTTTAAGCTGCAACATTAACACCCTTCAGACTGCAGGCACTGTTTCTTCCCCTCTCCAGGACTCAAGTCCGGCCTGCCAGTTTCCCTGAACCCCCTTCATAAATGTTACTTTGCTCCCCACTCCAACAGCACGTCAAGTATTTTAAAAACCATTTGTCTCCATTCACTCCTATCAAACACGCTCACGCATGCCTGCTGGAAGTCCAAGCCCTCACACACAAAACCTCCTTTACCCCCTCCCTCCAACCTTTCCTAGGCCGACCCTCCCCGCCTTCCTTCTACTACAGGGCTGATTACAACTCTTGAAGTCATTCTGTTTTGCTCCATTTTTCTCTACATGTCCCAAACCACCTCAACAACCCCTCCTCAGCCCTCTGGACAACAGTTTTGGTAATCCCGCACTCCTCCTAACTTCCAACACGAATTTTTCTTTCATTATATTCACACCACACATTGCCCTCAGACATGACATCTCCACTGCCTCCTGCCTTCTCCTCGCTGCAACATTCATTTACCCCTGCTTCAACCCCTTAAGAGCGTTTGGTTTAAATATACTCTTTAAATTCCCCTCTTTGCCCCCAAAGGGCAAAATTTTTGTCCCAAGACTCCAAGTGCCCC